AATAGTGCTACAAGAAAGGAATAGGACTAGTTTTTTTCTCTCTGAGCTAAAACAACTAACTGTTTCGTGAAAGATCCTTTATAAATGGGGGGATTTGCAGGCAATTTTAAGCAGTACCAGATGGTGGTTTTCATGTCAGGAAAGGCAATAAATCTGCTCTGTGTTTTTTGTTTTTTTTTTTTAAAGACAGCGCTATCAGCACTTGGGATAGACTTTAAAGATCAGTCTGCAAACAAGAGTGGATATACAGGCAGTTCTCAAGTTACGAACAAGATAGGTTCTGTAAATTTGTTCTTAAGCTGAATTTGTTTGCAAGTCAGGACTGGTACATTTTTAAGTGTAACTCCATGCAAATATTCATATGTGTATACTGCAGATTAGGGAAGGGTTAATACACTCTGATGCCGATCCAGATCCTTTCTGCTATGGACTCAGTGCAGATTTGCAAGACAGATTACTAAGGCATGTGTTTCTGATGGTTAGATACATGGAATATCCATCCCACTTAATATATAGTTTGATAACTAGGTATGTGCCAAACCTAGCTGGCAACTGATTCCAGCCTGATGGATATCTGTTCAAATTTCTCAGGTGCAGCCCAATACGTAATTCTATGCTTTGTCAATCTAGTTCAAAAAGTGCACTATCCAAGGCACTCAGTTTTATTTCTTTTATTTTTGTCCATGAGGAACAACATTGCATAAATGCCTTTCCCTGGGTATTAAAAATAAAATAAGCACCGGGATTGTGGCACAGCTGGCTGGGAGTCAGCTGCATTAAGATTAAGATCACTACTGACCGAAAGGTCATGAGTTCGAAGTCAGTCTGGGTTGGAGTGACCAAAATTGTGTAGCTTGTTGTCAACCTTTGCAGCCCGAAAGACAGTTGCATCTGTCAAGTAGGAAAATTAAGTAGCACTTTGTGGGGAGGCTAATTTAACTGATTTCGAGGCCACAAAAATCTCCAGGAAATATGCAAAGAATGAGGAAGCAACAGCTCCCCTGGTGGCCTCTGAGTGTCTGTCTATATATGTTGTGTGTCTATGGCATTGAATGTTTGCCATGTATATGTACATTGTAATTCACCCTGTGTCCCCTGCGGGGTGAGAAGGGCGGAATATACTGTAAATAAATAAATAAATAAATAAATAAATAAATAAATAAATAAAATAACAATAAGACAAATAATACTTCACTGTATTTGATAACACCCAGATCTGTCTGAGGCAATCCCTCAGCTGCCTAGGGACTCATCAGCCCACTAAAGGCTCCACCAATCCTCAGTTCTAATTCTGGTAGGGCTGTTGTTTTGGTAGATATCTAGGCCTTCGTTGAGAGATTTTTCTCAACTGAAAGGAACATAAAAACAATGAGCCTTTTTAAAAGCCTAAATGAAGAATTTTTAAGAAAAAAATAACAAATGGCTCATCACATACAAACATAGATTTTATTTTATCAAGGCCTCCATAGTCTCTTATTACCGTAGTCAATATTTGGTCATTAAAATATGAACCTTAGCATGGCACCACAGATATCAGCACAGCCATAAAGAAACAGAGAAATATGACATGCCAAACTAGCACTGTGTTACAGGAATAGATAATGGATGCAGGAATGGATAATAGCTATAGAAATGGCTTCCTGGCATCAGCACAAGCTCTGCTCAGAGAATTAATATTTCATACAAAAAACAACCAGTGGACAGGATGGATAGTACTTTTTATGGAGCTGCTTGGGGAGCTGGGTATGCTTAGCCTGGAGAAGAGAAGGTTAAGAGAGGACATGTTAACCATTTTTAAATATTTGAAAGGATGTCATATTGAGGAGGGAGTAAGCTTGTTTCCTGCTTCTCTGGAGACTAGGACAGGTAGCAATTGATTCAAACTGCAGAAAAAGAGATTCCATTTAAACATTAGGAACAACTTCATGATAGTCAGAGCTGTTCGAAAGTTGAATACACTGCCCTGGAGCGTGGGGGGGTCTCTTCCTTCAATGTTTTTGTCAAGAGTGGTTTGATTGTGTATCTCTGAATGGCATGAGGTTGGACTGGATGGTCCTTGGGGTCTCTTCCAGGTCTATGATTATATTATTCTATTCTGTCCATTAAAATGTAGAAAATTGTTACTTTTTCTACTTTGCAAACGTTCTATGATATCAGTAAGTAACCATGGAGAATCCAAGAGAGAGAATTCTGTGTACATCTCAAACAGGGGCAGCTCAACCCATTACGCAAAGTAAGCATTTGCAGTATAGTTGATTTTGCCCAGGGGTGCTCTTGAGGCGCTCTTGGGGGAAAATAGACCTTGACATATGCGAGTTGTGGTTACTAGGGCTGGGCGGTTTCGTTTCGTTAATTCGTAATTCGTTAATAATTCGTTATTTTTTTCAATTACAAAACGATAACGAACCATTCTGGAGCAATTTTTTTAAAAAACGAATTTTTAAACACGTTTTGTAAATGCTTTGTATTTCGTTATTGTATTCGTTTCGTTATTGTTCTGAGGTCGTTTCGTTATTATTTCCGCATGTCTGGGGCAAGTTTTTTGTTTAATTAGTGAAAAAAAATTATAATATCACACCAACAGTCAACAACAGAGGGAGAGGGAAGCTTCAGAAGTTTTTGGAGGTTTTTTAGCGTATTTCGCGGTCGAGTCCGCCATTAACGAATCGATTCGTTATTGTTTCGGAAATCGATTCGTTAATTTTTTACCATTTACGAAATTTCGTAAATATCGAACTTTTTAAAAGGAAAATTTTGTAATTATTTTAAATATCGAAACAAAAAAACCCCCAAATACAAATCGATTTTAGAAACAAATTTTTCCGTTGTTACATATGCGAGTTGTAGTTACTGGGATGTATAGTTCACCTACAATCAAAGAGCATTCTGAACTCCACCAATGATGGAATTGAACCAAATATGGCACACAGAACTCCCACGACAAACAGAAAATATATATCAGTGATTGGTTGGGGGAGGGGGGTTGGTGCCAAAATACTGTTTGCTTACCGTTGAAAATTACCTAGGGCCACCTCTGATCTCAAGTAACACCTACAGTTTGACCAACAGAATAGTAAGGTATAATGTAACAGAATAGTAAGATACAGAATATAACAGAGCATGATGATGGAGCTGCTGGTGGGTGGGGATGGGAGTATTCTGCCCTTTTAACTGTGAGGACACCTAATTTCCAGTTTTTTCTCTGCAGGAAAAAAGTGAACAGTTCTCCACAGAGGTATTTTGTGGTTTGTGGGCTGTATGGCTGTGTTCATTTCTCCATTGTTTTCACTGAGTGCTTGCACATCCTGAAAAATTATTAGAAATCCTTCTGACAGATATATATGCAGAATTTGGGCTTGAAGATTTTTCTCTTTCCAGTTTCCCCTATTCTTCTCTTTTTGTTGTATTTTTAAAAAACAAAACAAAAAAGAAGATAAAACTTTATCTGGGAGTAGTGGTTTCTTGTATGAAAAATGATCTCTTCACATCAAAACATAATATTCATTTTTCATTCTTTTCCAGAAAGCCAAGTGGGGGTTTGGATACAAAACGCTGCATTTGCACACAGAACTTGTACAAACTCCACATTCAAAACATGGTAGGCAGGTTCTGTGTGATTTTCTTTCTATTTCAAACAAAAAGCCAACATTATTGCAAAAAAAAAAGAAATACTTATGTTTTTCTGGAAAATGTATGTTTTTGTATATTATGAAATATACTTTTTACATAAACTTTCCATAATGTTCACTTTCTAAAAATCTATGTATTTCTTTGCAGAACAATTTTTGAAACACATTGAGATATGAGGCTACTAGAGAAAACTGCAAAAAAAAATCCCACCTATGTGCTATTCTTCCTAACTTAATTTTCTAAATGTCAGACATTCTGTTTTCCAGCTGGAAAACAGCAAATATTCTTCCCATGCCTAGTTTCAAACAATTAGATGAAGTAAAATCAATACGCTCATTTATGGCAGTGCAAACAGCTGCAGTCTACACATATACCAGGCTTTTTTGTTAATTTGTCCAGGCAAGCTAATTTAAAATTGTTTATATGGTTCTAGAACAAATCAGCAAATTAATAAATTTGGTGATACTACGCATGGGCTTTGGGTCACTCAATATTAGTTTCAGCAGGCTACATTCAAGTCAAGTAATGCCTAGAAGTTTTTTAAATTTTATTTTTCTCTGATACTAGATTTACATAGAGTGATTCTAGAAAAGCCTTTTACTGTGCAATTAGAATAGGGAAATGCAACATCTTTCCAAAATAATTTCTTTATCAAAATTTACCAACATTCACAATGTATAAGAAAGCAAAAACGATGTATTTGTTCTCCAGGCAATGCCCTTTTTTGCTTGTTGCCCTCCAGTTTTGTCTTTGCAACCTATAATGATAGCCATATGGGCCTGAATGCCCTAAAGGTGATCCTGGAAGCTAAGCAAGATCAGTCCAGGTTAGTACTTGGATAGGGGCTCACCATTGAATACCTAGTGCTGTAGGCTCTATTTTAGATGAAGGGACTGGGAAAACTGCTCCTGAGTATTCTTTGTCTAAGAAACTATATGAAATTCATGAAGTCATTTTAAGCTGACAGGCAACTTGATGTCACATCTGCATACATAACCATTAGATCACATAGAGAGTTAATTTTCTTTGCTGTCCCTTCATAAGTTGCAAAGAATTCTACTATTTCTAGAAAATACTATTAGGAAATTCTTGTATTCACCTGTGAGTTACTGGTTTGCTGTGGTGAGTCCAGACACACAGCAGACTTCCAATTATCATTACATAAATTAGATACCATGTTCATTTTTATTCCTAGGAAGATGTTTCAATTACAACAATTTATCCGGTATATATTATGATAAATGGGCATTATATGATATTCATCCTATTGTTGTTGTTATTAATAGTATTAGTATTATTATTACAAACAAACTGTTTGCAAGATATCTACAGTTGAAATTACTGAGATAGACTGGGTAGATTAAGCTTACTTTCAGCTGCACCAAATGAACGTCCACATGCTTGCTGTCTGAATCTTGCTGGACCGAGTAAGTCAGGTCCCTGACCCTTTCTGATGTCAGCCGGAGCCAGGTCTCAATCTCAGGCAAGTGGAGAACGATCTTCCAGTCAGCTCCAGTATGGAGAGGGGGAGGCTTGTCATATTGCTGTCCAGAATCAAGGTCTTTCATGGCATCTTCTCCACCTTCTTGCTCCGTGGTGGGGGTCATGTTGATGACCATGGGGGATGCATCAGCAGCTACAGAATCCACTTCCAGAGGCATGATGGGAGAAAGTGCTACTTCCATGGCTAACATTGAGAAGTCTAGTCCATATTTCTTTCCAAATCTGCTGCACATATAAAAGAAGAGAAAGACCGTTGTGTTAAAAGTAAGAACTTGAATTAAAAAGGCCCTAACCCACCCAACCACAATTGTGGTATATGCTGAACTGATTCATAATGTATACCACTGCATTAGCATGTAAAGCATCCCATGGAAAAACAGGCTCTGTGCAAATAACGATTTAAAATCTTTGAAAACTGAATCCAAATGCAACTCAAAGAGTAGTTGCAATCTATTTGAAACTTACAAATTGAGAAGACTTGCATAATTTACTTCTGCTGGTTGTGATGAGAGGTAATGAACTAGGAGGTAATAAAACCATGCCTCAGATATCCTCTTAAAAAATCTCATTATTGTCACAGACTCTAGCTTTTGAAATTATACCTGCCTTCACTGATATATTGTCTTTCTTTTTTTTCTGGGACATCTTCCTAGTCACAGGAGTAACATGCTCAAGAGATAGTTAGGAAAAGTAAATATTTAATCATAGTTTAAATACTAAAAAAAAGTGAAGGGTGGCTCAGAAAAATAACAGCCAAGGAATTCAGTCTTTGGGGATATTTGGAAGGTGTTCTGATTCCAGGACATGAGACTATTGCATCCTGCTGCTTGAAGTAGTGGATATGATGGCCTTTCCTTTCCACCTGCAGAAGGCAATTGGATTTTATCAATCTTTCTTCCACACTGAAAGGAGACAACATTCTCTACTGTTCCTAAGAAAAGCAACCTATCTTAAGGGCCACAGGGTGGGCATGGAAAACCTACAGCTCTGACTTCCAATAGCTCCTTGCCACTCGTATTACATGATGTGAGGCAACCACTGCTTTCTGTTGAATGGTAGGGCCAGCCCTATCTGATCCAAGACATAATGCCATTGCTTAGTGGTACAGAACAAAATAGCTATGCTAAATCAGATTCAAATCACATCTAGACTTTTATTTTGCTTCACACAATTGCCAACCAGATGAATATATTTCACAGGCAGAAAATCGTCATTCTGTTTTCTGCACCCTAGTTTAAAAGTTCTAATTGTAAACAATTAACAACACCTCTTTTGCAAAGTTCCTGGAAAGTAATTGCTAATCATAGCAGACAATATTGGTCTTACAATTCAAATGGCATGACATGGTATAAAGTAGCTTCCAATGTTTCATGAGCCTCCCACAACAGTGAAAACTTCATATTATTATGTAAATATTGAACTGAAAAATGTATTGTAAAGTTCTGCAGAGATAGAAATATGGAAGGCCTCCCTCTAGACCCACACCCCAAAAACCCCACCTTGTAAGTGGCTACAATTCCAACCATAAGAGCCATTTATTGGCTTATGGAGAGCAAGGATGTCAGCTAGCCACTGGAACATCTCAGGGATCAGCTAGTAGTCCCAGAGGAATGAGTCATTGCTGTTTCTCCAGCTATGGAATAGCATACTGGTGCTCTTTCCATCTCCACTGTCTACAAGCCAATGATTGGCCATGTTAGGTGGAGCTGCAACAACTTAAAAGTTTGGCACTGAGGTGACAAAGGGAGTTTTTTCCTTGTGTGGAGCACAACAGAGAATTACAACTTTCATAGCCATCAAAACAGTGAGTTATACAGTTTGGGCTTACTTTGTAAGTTACTCTCAGATGTTGTCATTACCATTTATGTTAAATATACAATGTTGGTTCATTTATTAAGCCCTTTTATCCTACTACTTAGCTAGTGGGAATATCCATGCTTTAATCTTTTTTGAAAGCCACCTTGGCTCCTATGCAGGGAAAAAGTAGTATATATAGTATATTCCAGTGCACAGCTATATGTTGAGAAGTCATAGCCAGTGGAATGACTATGCACCACAGTCTTAGGACCTCTTCACATGGGCTGAAATTCAGTGGTGGCAGTGGTTTTTTGCATTTTCATCATGGAGCCCACCGGCTCCCAGCACTCACAGTAAGAGTACTTCGGGAGTTGCTCCATGGCGAATGTGCAAAAATCCTGTTGCAGCCACCATTAAAATTGCCAGCGGTGCACAACAGGAGCCAGCTTAAAGAGTCTTCCACCCATGTGATATGGGGGGAAGCTGGGATGGTGCAAGCGGCCTCTGGCAATGGAAAAAGGGAGAGTAGGGGAAGAAATAGCAAGGTCACCCTTAAAACCTGAACCCAACCAGATTGTGGCTTGAAGCAGCTTAGGAAAGAAGTGTAAGTGAAGGGAGAAATAGCTGGGTCTCCCTTTTTAAAGCCTGAACCCAGTCGGCATACTGGGGCTTAGGCATCCCTCCTTGTGATGAGAGAGTTGAAGGGGAAGCCTGGGTGGTGTGGGGTGACAGTCCCCTGGGAGGGTGCCACCGAGATCGCCTTGATTCACAGTGATACTCTACGATTCTGGAGGCACATATGAAGAGATTACAAGTGCACAATGGGCACCAGTACACATTGGAGCACTCCTGATGGACATCCAGCTAGAAAATGTTGGACTATAACAGGAATTGCCAGTGTGCCTCAGAATTGTCCAGTGTATACCAGAAATGGCCAAATTACATCACATGCCAGATGAACGTCAGAAGAGCTCACTCTGCATCAGAATACAGACGTCTTTACAATTCACTTTCAAATGCTGGTTCATGTAGATATAATCAGAATCTCCTTTCAGACTCTCTCAATATGGGAAGACTGAAGGCAGAGCCCATGCATGGGGCAAGGAGAGGAGCTCAGATGCAAGGTACCTCTCTGTTTGCGGAAGAAAGACCTCACAGGTTAGCCTGTGGGGCACTTATTCCACAAACAATACTTCTGAATGGTTCTTTAGTTATCATTATTTAGAAATCTGCATTCTTCATAGCTTTGATAAAAACTTGTAAATGATTGTGTTCCCTATTGAACCTAAGAAACATTTATATTAGATTTTGATATATGGTGCAGCAAAGAAAACCATATTCGGGAAAAGAAAGCATGTTTCAGGTCAAAATAACTATGTGCCAGTCCTTGACACATTTCACTTGTGGGTGCTCTTTATCATTCGATTTTTTCATTAGTATAAAATATAGTGCACTAGGCTCAATATGAACATGGCTCACAGACAAACTAATTACCTCTCCTGAGTGATCAATATTTAGCAAAAATCCAGGGACACAGATCTTACTCAGTGGCTGTTCTACTTTAAACTGACCCTTTGTGTAGTTTTCAATACACCCTCTCAGTGCATTTCAACATGAAAAGTAGCACAAAACACTAGCGCACATGTTTAAAGCATGATTTTACATAAACAACTAAAAATAACCTAATGTAGGTTCAGAGTAGAATATTACAGATTTAATTACAAAGCAGGTGGGGATTCCTCTGAATCTTATTAGCTTTAGTAATTACTGACCTGCTTTTATTTATTGCACTCTTGAGTCTGCACAGTATTTCTTCATCACTAATATTAAACACAACTTCAGTCACAGTGGTAGATATTAAAATTAAGACAAATTCTTTCACAGTCACAGTAAATCACTGTTAAGTATCACCACCCCAATCAATAATGATAAATCTATTTTCTATTTTGATTTTCCAAATCAAAACATGTCAATGCATACTACTGGGGCCAAAGCTTTTTAGAATTCCCCTTAAATCCAAAATTTTCCTGAAAGAAGAAACTGCTTTGCTTAGGCATTTACTGAATAATTACATCTAATTCACTATGCAGTTGCCTAGCAGAATGGAAAGCTGCCATAATCCAGCTACCTAGTTACAAAAGGAAAATGAAGATCTCTCACACACATTCCCGAGAGAACTGGCATCAGCAGGCAACGTCCTCCCCCTGTTGTCATTCTTCATACTAATCTCGGGAAGGCAGGCTCCACCTCGTCCTTCGTTCCATCCACTGGCGTTCTACTTGGCAGAACAAGCCGACTGTCATGTCAGCACCAGCCTATTTAAAAAACCTCGCTGGCAAGATGGTGTAAATACGAGCTCGATTTATGAGCACTTCTTTGCCAATTTGTCACTGAAAGCATTTCTCTGATGGAGTCAGAGAAAACACAACCAAAGGTTTTCAAACAAGAGTAAGAAAGGGTCTTGCAAAGCAAGTTACTAGATCCTGAAACTGAGGTAGGCAGTAAAGGTTTGGCAAAGGCGACAGCAGTTCCAGCTGCTATACAGCCTAATAGACTAAGCAACCACTCAACAGGATAATTCAGTCATTTCTGGCATCCTCCTAATGCACTATTATCTCTTGCAGTTAAATGGATTTAAGTATCCATATTGCTCTGCTGAAAGGCTTCCTCTCTTAAATCAGACCTCTGTTGACTCACTCACCATTTGTCTGACAGTAAACAGCAACTCTGTATTATTTAGTTGTTTTATATATCAATGGCACAAATCTAATTGCTACAGTAGATTGTTCAGATAATAGATTTACTGAATGGTTCATTTCTGAATGGTTCGTCAACACTTATGTAAATGAGATGGCTCAATTGGTCTATGTACTCTATTTGGGCTGCACAGCAATTGAACAGAGGGCATTTGATCTATGTGTACCTCACCTTTTAGGTGGGATGCAATTATCCCATTTACAGTGACTTACAAAGATAAACTAAAACCACTTACAACAATGCCAAAAATATCATAGATAAAATTATCCACATTAACACATGCAAATTAAATAGTGACAGCAACATTAAAACATCCCTTGGCACCTACAGGGGCTAGTGGTTTCCATGTTAATCAGATGAAGAAACAGTCCCAGGCTTTACCAAATTTAAAACAAGTTATCCAAAGTGCCAATCCCTAGTGAATAAATGGATTCAGCACCTTGGATAGACCCTTAATACTCGTAGTGAATTCACCATCCAGCTAACATGGTAGATGCCAGTAACATCACAGTGAAAAGAGTGCAAGCCAAAAATATGGAAAAAGCAGGGGTAAATATATAAATTGACAGTGCTGACATAAAGGTTCAGAGTGATGGGGCCTCCAATACCTATTTATGTTGCTACTATGCACATTCTCCAACATCCTTTCTCTAAGAGTTTCAACATAGAAAGTAACACTAAGTACTAGAGTGGGGATGAGCAACTGTGTGGGATGCAGGGACCAATTTTTTGAGCTTAGAACCTTCAACCTGTTGATACCATGCAGGTGTAATAATAATAATAATAATAATAATAATAATAATAATAATAATAATAATAACAATAATAATAATTATTTTATTTTGATATCCCACCTCCATCTCCCCAGAGAGACACTTGGGGCGGCTTACATGGAGACATGCTCATTCAACATAGTTAAAATATAACACACTAAAATTCATAAAACAATATCATAGAACAATATAAACCACCACAGCATAACATAGTCATGTGATAGGCTCCTGCGGGCTTCTAGGGGTCCTAGGATGGAGCCCAGACCTCGTGTGATGATGTCCTTAGATATGACTGGACAAGTTGCCTTTTCATAGAACTTTTCATGTTGTGCTACATGCTCACTTACACACACACACACACACTTCATTCAGAAATGCACTATTGATAATAACTGCTACATCTATGCCTCTTTCTCCTGATTTTCTGCTCAGCTAGATGCCAATAAGTCCATGTAGATGACAGGATCTTTATCATCAAAACCAACAAGCAGTCTAATGTTTGTTGGGCATAACCTTTTTGTGTATGCATATTAACTGGCATGTGGTCCATAAATGCCTGTGCAAAAATAAATTTTGTTTTGTTTTTGACATGCCACAAGTCTCTTTATTCTCTTTGCCACAGTAACCTATCATGATCTGAGGGACTCCACTAGAAATGACTTTCTATGTGTCACCCTGTGTATAAATTGACAAGCTTTCTGGAACTCTGTGCTGACTCAGCAATGCATTCATTTATTCTCCACTCACAGTAATTGGTTCATGCCAAAGAAAAATTCATTAACCATGTGAAGGTACAGAGGGAGGCAGAACAAATATCGATCAGTGTTGTATCCACTAAACAGTGAGAATGCTAATCAGTCCTTAATTTTAGTGCCTAATTGTCACAAATTGTTAACATCACCCTTAAGCACTATGCAGCCATCTGTCGAGCATAAAATCAATTTGTTTTTTATTTACTGCATTTTTAAAAACAAAGTTTAAAAGAATATTTCAGTAGCCACACTGTCCTTCTGATTTCAAATTATGAAACAGCTGATACCAGATAAAGCGATTTTTGTTCTGACCCACTTGATCCCTCCTACATGACATTCTTCCTTTCCTATTTGTGTATGTGTGTGTGTGCGTCAAGAGTCACTTGAGAAGCTGCAAGTCGCTTCTGGTGTGAGAGAATTGGCCATCTGCAAGGACATTACCCAGGGGATGTTTTACCATCCTTGTGGGATGCTTCTCTCATATCCCCATATGGGGAGCAGAAGCTGACAGAGGGATCTCATCCGCAGTCTATCCGGATTTATACCTGTGACCTGTCAGTCTTCAGTTCTACAGGAACAAGGGTTTAACTCATTGCGCCATTGGGGGCTCCTCGGTTAGCTACGAGCAAGGGTTATTAGGCTTCTGGCGTCTATGATTGGAAGCAAGCAATTCCTTACAGAAATTCAAACCAATAGCCCATTACGTGCTGATTAAGAAAGTCTATTAATTCAGACATACCACTCTGGTTCTCAAATTCTAGGAATACAAGCAATCGCAAACATCTGCTAACTTTCCTTATTTGGACAACTGGTCCTTGCGGAGGCCACCTGGTCTGTTCTGCTTGAAGTCTGGTATCCAGCCTGACTGTTTCTGGTTTGTCAATCTTGAGCTCCTGTTCCCAAGACACCAATCAGCTTTTGCTGTAAGTAACCACAGCAGATTTTTATAAAATCCACCCCTGTATTCTCCTCCTCATTTTTTAAGGTGGCTTCTAATGTTTTATGTGTTTTTCTTCTTTAAACTCCACCTCAACCTCATTACCCTCACTATGACAATCTAATGTAGTTTTTCTGGGCAAAATGTGAAAACATAGAAACAAGTGGAAGAATGCTGGAGAGGAATGTATGGCCTGTATGTAGTGGAATTTCTCTTTGTTGCCAAATTGCTGTTATCCTGAATGAATAAATTCCCTTTATTCTCCTAACTAAAATAGCCATAACTTAGAAATTACTTGAAAGCACAACAATCAAAGAAGAAGTTCGCTTCTATTTTTTTAAAAAGAACAATCTTGTCATGAAGCAGAAAACTTACAATGGTCACTCACACAGCCATAGAATATTCAGAAAATGCAACTGAGAATTGTTATATAATGCGAGTATGACTGTGAGAGGTGCAAACCTTACAGGAAATAACTGTTTGTTGAAATTGCTGTACACCATATAATGAGTGGGTAGAATATGATAAACAATATCAGCAACAAAAGTCAACCTGAAAGTAGGGGGGGTAGCAAAATCAGAGCTGATGTATCACAGATGTGGTACTAAACATCAGCCTAAAGAGGAACTGGGTCAGCAGTTGTTAAATACATCACTAATTGCTTCAATGGTGATGGAATTTCTTGCAACAGTTTCTCACAGACCCGACCTACCTTCAGGTTGGATTCTGCAAGGGTACAGTACAGTACCTTAAACAGTGTTTTAATAATAATAACAGTGTTTTAATGGAAAGCTGGGATAAAAATGAATCAATATTTTAAGTAAAACCTTTTTTCCTGAAGCATATATTATATCAGTACAGAAAGATACAGCTCTTTTCACAGTACTGCATGAAACTAAAACTTTTTAAATAATGCTTGGAACAGAGCCATATGGTTGTAATGATACAAAGCATTAAATGTAATCAGGGCTAGTTAATTTTCCTTGTCTTTTACATAATTTGAGTTATTTAAACAAGAAAACAGTGGGTGGCTTGAGTCAAACTGCATTCGCCGTAGGACACTAAATGATATTATAATCAGCCACAGGAACTGGTTATAGTTCTGGGGGCTTTCCCCTTTGATTAGCATCAGATATTATAACATCTGTGAGTTGCATCTATTTCAATTTGTATTTCCCTGATTTCTACGCAATATCAAAAACATCATAATAAAAAAATAATTGAGGGAACAGACATATTTCTAATGTTTCATTTTTACATTTTTAATGTACATCTCCCTCACAATGTGTTCACAATGTTTTCCCCATTTTGTTTACAATTGTGAGTGTAATTTCCACAACAAAAGATTTGTCACTGGCCATGATATTGTGAATCCCTTCATGCATTTTCATAAAATTGTTCGCCATGGCATATTACCATGCTGGAAACTGCCCTGAGTCCCCCAGGGAGATAGAGCGGTATACAAATAAAGTATTATTATTATTATTATTATTATTATTATTATTACCCACCCTTTTTATTGACAGCTAAAAAGTATTACAATAGTGTATTCATCTACATTACAAAGCAATGCACAACACTTCTCATTGTCCACAAAAGTATGGAGGATTTTACTCATTTGTTCAGAAAAGTGTGGAGGAAAAAAAACATTCAGTTAAAACATATTTCCATAGATCTAGGTGTGACCTGGGGCCTCCCAGTGGCGCAGTGGGTTAAAGCACTGAGCTGCTGAGCTTGTTGACCAAAAGGCTGCAGGTTCAATTCCGGGGAGCAGCGTGAGCTTCCGCTGTCAGCCCTAGCTTCTGCCAACCTAGCAGTTCGAAAACATGCAAATGTGAGTAGATCAATAGGTACCGCTCCGACAGGAAGGTAACGGTGCTCCATGTGGTCATGCCGGCCACATGACCTTGGAGGTGTCAATGGACAATGCCAGCTCTTCGGCTTAGAAATTGAGATGAGCACCACCCCCCAGAATCAGACATGACTGGACTTAATGTCAGGGGACAACCTATATCTTTACCTAGGTGTGACCATGTTGAAGGAGCAAAGTCACCACCATCAGAAATAAAATTAAGTTTAACC